TTGTAATAGACTCAGTTGTCTATTCAAGTCTCAGTCTTAGTCTGAAGCTCCGCTTCAACCAGTATACGTCCTCAAACCGCTATCAGATATAGCGGCTCAGTTTGCACTCTAGTATTGGTGTAGGACTATAGCGTGTATAAGTCCTAGACAACAGTTAATCAGTTGAACTCCTGATCCTCAGTTATCAGGTCCCTTAACAGCTCCCACCCCTCCATCCACATCCAAGCCATCTGAGTATACTCTTATCCCTCGGTCATGCACCCATGTCTCCTCATCTATCTTGGCTTTCTCCTTGTCCTTAGCAATAGAGATCTGGAAATGTGGTTTCCATGATGGTAAGAGACGGACACTCAGTATAGTCTCCACATTGTTAGGGTGTGTCTCATCCAGGTATGCATTGATGAGTTCATGTATTGGCGTGCAGTGTTTCTTGATATAGTGCTGTACTTTTTGTACATGAGGGTACAGGGGGTGTGATGATGGAAGGGTGTAGATTTGTGCTATAGCTTGTTGCATTAGTTTGTTGATTAGCAGTTCTAGTGGGAGAAGGTTAGCATGTGCATCTAAGATGTCTGCTGCTGTTGATTGCATTGCTCCTGTTATTGCTAGGCCTGCTTCTTATTGTACTCTTGCTAGTTGCCGTACTGCTCCTACCGATCCATATTTGGTCTTCCGGCCCTCAATTCTGCGGATTGGGGTCAGCCATACATCACATACATATAACATGGAGGGGATTGCAATGCTCATGTAGAGTTGCTTGACAAATCGGTAAGAGATTCCTTTTGTAACACATGCTAGTCATTTGAATTGAGCCAGCCAGACTGTACCCTTCTTTAGTGCATGGTCCACCTGTTGTTTAAATTTCAGCCGTTGGTTGATGTATATCCCCAGGAACTTCACTGCTTGTGATGGTTGGATTGTTCCTGAGTTGAGGTGCAGTGCTGGACCTGTTCTAAATCCGGGATGAGGGTTAGCATTTAGAAGGCATAGCTTGGCAGTGGAAAACTTTGAATTATGCGTTCTCGACCATTCCTCTGCTCCTCGTTCGCGTTCTATGAAGTTCTGCAGTTGGTCGTGTGCCTTCTTGTGTGTGTTGGCTACTACAATCACTGACATGTCATCTATGTAGCCTAGTACAGTCTCACCTTGTTTCTGCTTTTCTGCCTTGATTAAGCCCCGGTTGTAGATCTTGTACAGTAGCATTGAGAGTGTGCATCCCTGGTCTATTCCACTTATGATTTCGAATGTTTCTGATATGAAGTCGTCGAACATGAGCTTCGTTTTCCAGCCTTCCATTTTGCATCTGATCTATTCAACTGTTTCCACAGGAATTCCCATTTCTTCCATGTCGCATAGGAGACGGTTAGGGACTGCACTTGGAAAGGTGGCTTCTACATCAAGGAAGAGAATGGACGCTACTTTACCTACTCACCATGCGTCTTTCACAGTTTTCACAATTAAGTGCAGGGAGTTTGATGCTGTTCTTCCTGCCCATCCTCCAAGATGATTTGGTGGCATCAGATTGAGTTGCTCAATATTGTGTTCAGCTGATTCTGCCACACATGCAGAGAGGCCCTTCGCAATGCTGTTGAGCAGAGCAATAGGCCTGTACGATTTGGCTGTAGAATAATCAGCTCGTCCTGGTTTCCTTAGAACTATTGTTTTGGAGTTCTTCCATTCATTAGGATAGTATTTGAGGTCAAATGTTGCACTGTAGAGCCAACCTATGTGCAGGATTAGCATGTCCACACATTGTTTGTATACTTCATTTGGGATATTGTCTGGGCCTGGTGCCCAAAAGTCTTTCATTTGTTTGATCACCTGAGTAATCTGGTGGTCAGTGATGTGACGAAATGGGAATGCTTCTGGTGGGCTTAAGAGGTGCAGTGGGGCTAGTTCCTTGTGATGAGGTGGTGGAGGAAAGAACAACTCATAGAGGATTTTGCTCTTGCTTGTGTTGTCAGATACCATGCCTGCAACATTTCCATTAGTATCATTCGGGCGAAGAGATGGAATTCTTGTTTTTCCCCCATCAGTTGAGCCTGCCCGTATGTACTTGCTTACTGTCCAGACAGATTGGATATCAGCGTTCTCAAGCCACGCCTCCCAGTGTTCTTTTTTGGCAGTTTGGATTTGGTCACAATATTGGTTTTGAAGGTGTTTATACTTCACATGAACTGGATGTTCCTGGGTCAATCATTGTTGATACAATTTCCACCCTGCTTTGTTAACTTCTCTCCTTACCATGTCAAGCTCTTTTGACCACCATCACTTTGCATATGGAGATGTCTGGGTCATTGGCACTGTCGCATCAATAACTTTGTGGAGAGTCCTCATCAGGTCTGCAAGTGCCTTGTCAAAGTCCTGAATATCTATGATATCCCCTGTTGGTAACTGTTGTGCATCCATCTTCTGTTGAAGGCAGCTGCGGAATTCCATCCAGTCAGTTTGCCAAAAATTTCGGTAAGTGGGTTTGACATTGGAGGTAGGTGAGATATCAAACTCTGTGAAAATTGGAAAATGATCAGTACAAGGAGGTCATCGCCCCATGTCCACGTCACATGAGATGAGAAATCCAGCTAGCATTTCAGAGCTGAATATATCTGGGCATGTCATGTTCTTGGTCCTTGTTGCTTCGAGTGTGGGGAGGCTAGCTGGTAGTAGCATACGAAGATCAAATGCATTTAGCAGGTTGATTAGTTGCTGTGCTTGATCGAGGTATGTGTCTGTAAATAAGTGTTGGTTGTTCTCATCGTCCCAGAGGGGGTGATGTCGATTGAAATCTCCTGCCCAAATTACGTGCTGTAAGGTGTTGCTGTTGCTATTGTGTACATTAGTATGAGGTTCTAGGTGTCGTGTCACCTTTGCCAGTAATCAGAGGGAGTTGTCATGTTCCTGGTCATTGTATTTGTTGAATATTGTTAGAGTTCCTACAGTTAGTGTTATTGAGACTGCTGTGATGTCTGGGCTGTCAATTGGTAGAGGTGTCCATGTATTTGTGGACATTTGGGAGTGAATGAGGATTATGGATTGGGTTACCTGTTCACTATCCTTGTGTCATGGTGGGTAGATAGGGTACCATTTGCTTGCTGCTCAGGTGTTCTTGAGGAAGTCTATATGAGGTTCCTGAATTAGCACTACATCAAGATCATCAATTGAATTAAGAAATTCTGATTGTGCTGTGTTCGACTTGTTTGCATTCAGTTGTCCAATGTGTAGGGTGTTTCTTTGGCCATGTTCAGATATTGACATGGTTTGGTGGTTGAACATTGACAGGGAGAATTCCAGTGGGCTGTATTTGTGTTGGATGCCTCTGGGCACTGCTATTCACAATTCCTGCTGATGTTAAGGTCGTTTGTCTTAGATTTGAGGGCCCTCGAAAGTATTGTGGAGCAGATACTTGTGGATGGGAACCTAGAGGGATTGTGTTAGTGCCACTTGTTGTAGCCCTCTCCTTCTCTTTTCTCATAGTCCTCCATGGCATCTCGTACTCAACCTCCTCACTCCACTGGTTTGAGTTGTGTTTGCGGTAGCCATTCTTTTTCATTCTTGTAGCTTCTGCCAGAGTGTTGTGCCCCTGAGCCTGTACCCGCTGTGTTTGCTGTGTGAGTTCCCATGAGTTATTGTCGTTTATTGTAGGATAGAAATGATACTTGTTTCCACCCCCATTTTGGGTGTACTTGAGTGTGGCAGCTATAAATGAGGGGCATAGTCGGTCCCATGCTGCGTGACCATCCTCCTTGCAGTTCATACAACATGGAAATGATGTTTGAGAGCATGTTGAGGTCGCATGGTCCTGAGCACATGTTCCACATGTGTCATTGACCTGTTTACACTCTGCTGCGAGATGTCCTACTCCTATTTTCTGGCATTTCAGACACCTACGTGGTTCTCTTAACAGCTTTCTTGCAAAAACTGTTTTTCCCACTATTATCATTCCGTCTCGGATGGCAGTGTTCACTGCTGCAGGGCTGTTGTATTTGATAATGAGGTGTGCTGTCATTTGCCCATTTGTTCTCCGAGTCTTAGGCTTGATCCAATTTGCACTTATAATAGAGTTGTCATTCCATCCATTGGCCTGCTTGACCAGTCGCAGTGAGAGTGGCCGGTCTGGGTCGAATGATATCGGGACAAATTCAACAAGTACTGTGTAGTAGCAAAGCTTGATAGACATGTTCTCCCCTCCATAGTAAAGCAGGAAGCCTTCCATATTGTCTTTGTGGTGTATCCAGTTTGCAGACTGTGCACTATCCATTTCATATAGCACTCCTCCATTTCGTAGAAGTCTAACAGATCGGAATGTCAGCATAGGTAGAGCATCTATCCGTATTGGTCCCATCATTTCAAACGCCACCTTTGCTTTCTTCAGTAATGCCTCTTCGGAAGCTTGTGTCCCATCCTCCATTCATGCAGCTGCACCATCAATTAACACCTGTTTTGTTGAACGAATAGTGAATGCACCTACAAAGTTCTATGTACAGAACCGCTACAAACGGTTCATGGACAC